AAATACAATTGGCGAAAACAGGAATTGGCATTAAGATATTTCCCCGTTGGCGATGTACCCGTGATTTTTGTCCGGTTTGAATCATATGAGCAGTGAAGTTAAATTAAAGCGTCACCATTTGAGTGGTAGAGCGCTCATACCTGAGTGGAATTACTCAACGAAGACATATGGAGAATGCAACTTCGGATAATGAAAAACGAATCGATTCAAAAATCTTACTACTTAGATGTCAAATCAAAAACGAGATGAATAATCTATTTGATAATGCAGAAAAATTAGTTAAATTTAATCGAAGTTTATCACAACAATTACAAATAAAGAATGTACTTAATCCTTATACTCAATTATTTATCAATGTACAACTTGCAAATAGACTGAAAATTCTTTCAAATGGATATTATCGAAATCGGTAAAATAAATTTGTTAATTTCATTTAGCATATTCAAAATTCTTTTCATTTTAGTTACGGTAATTTAATTCCACTCGTATGTCTCCTAAAAATATTTTCTTCTGATTATTTTTTAAATTTGTTTTAGAATATAGCAGCAAGTAAAGGTTTAATAGAATTTATAATCAATGATGAAATTGATTATGAAGAAATGGAAATAGAATATCGTTCAAAACATTATCCAATTATAACAAATCTTTTAATTCATCAAGTTTATGATAGTATTAATAAATGTATGATTACATTTCGGCAAGCTATTGATAATAATTATCTTGATATAGAATTATTTATTTATTCATGTTCAAATATATCAATGTCAATACATGAAGCTTTTTATTGTGGATTAATTATTGGTGAATTACGTACAAATATAATTGAACAAGAATTTCCTAAACAAATAATAAATATAAATGAAAAATATGATTTTGATTATGATATATTATTTTCATTATTAAAAACAATTGTTAATAATTTAAATGAATTTATAAATACAATAAAGATTATTGATGAATGTCAATTAACATCAGATGGATATATTCAACATAAAAAAACAAGAGAATGTTATTTATTAACACAAGCTATAGAACTTGGTCTAGTTTCATTTCAAGATAGTTCACAAATAACTCCATTCAATAACTCGAAAGTTGTAAAATAAACATGGCTTGATTCTTATTTTCCTATCTTTCTTCATTCGCCATCTCATTTTGTGTTTGCTTGTTTTTTCAAATCAATCTTTAAATGAGGAAATAGAAATTGAAAAAAGAACAGAGAACATCATTTGTGACTAAGAACTATACATGCCCATCGTGACTAAAAATCCACCGCGATTCTAGAAACGACAAGGCTAATGCGTCACGATAGTTTTAAAAAAGAAGTGACAATGATAGCATTGCCATGAATATCTCTTCTATGGACTCAAAGATGAACCAAAAATAAAATAAAATTGATCATCATTAGCAAGAATATCTCTAAGACTTCTTTTAAAATTCTGACCTCATTCTGTTCTTTGTCAAATGGCCCGAATTCTATAATTTCTATTTGTGATATAATCAGAAAATATTTTACATGTAAGTTGTGTAACTTTTAGCATTCGACACTTGCCAACGATGGAATATTATCAACAGTAGATGTAATTTATCCTGAAGAAGATCTTATCTTAGAAAAAAATCTACCGGTAATTTGAAATACTCTTGACATATTATTATTGATATTTTTAGGTCTTTTCGGATGCATTCACGTTCGATTTATTAAAAGCAACTAATAGTTTAATCGATGAAGTTCAAAACGATGAAACACATCAGACAAATATGAATCAATTTTTATCAATGATGAATACTTGTTAAAAAAACAAACAACAATTTCAAAATCTGTCTTATCCTACTTATTATGTAAATTTTGTTTCTGTGCTCTATTAAAGGATCTACAAGGGCAGTTGCTCACAAAGGATGTGGGTATGAATCTTCTCTTCACTAACACTCACGTTCTAATCGTACGCGACAGGCATATTTTCTAGAATATACACTTCTCCGATCAATTATATAAGAATACTCGTTGTATATTAATAATAGCGCTTTTCTAGTTTGCTTTTGTATAGCAACTGACATAATGTGGCGGCTGCATGTTTAGAAACGAAGTATTGTTGACTTTTTTCCTTAGTAGTAGCAGTGGTTTGGAGGAAAGATCTCTGGAAGACCAAAATTCCAAAAACTAGTTATCTGGATTCTATCGAAAATGTTTCGAAAATAAGTTCATCTAATAGAGGAAACATTTTGATGTCCCTGAGCTCTCCACAATTTATCTTTAGCAAACGATAATCATTTTGTGCTGAGCCTAAAAGGCTATTTTCTGTTGTTTCTATGGACATTTATATGAGTTTCCTGTGTTTTACACGTTGAGACTATTTTCAGAATGAATGTAGTTCGCTAAAGGTAGATCGTGGAGAGTTTGTGGACATCAAAATGTTTTTTTATAGAATCCAGAAAACTGGTTTTGAAGAGTCGTAGTTTTCCAGAAACGTTTCGTCCAAACATGTTAATGAGAATTTGACAAATACATCTACCTATAAAAAATCATTTCAGCTAATCAAATCTTTTTTCTAATTGATTCTACGTATTACCGTTAAGGAAAAAAGTCAAAAATACTTTGTTTCTAAACCGTTTGCTTCTAATTCAATCAGTTTTTTGTGAGGTCATTCTGTTAGTCTGTGTGGCTTATATATAAATATTTCGTTGAATACAATTTATCATTTATATTAGAACAATTAAATGAATCAATTTATGATGAAAATCATTCTCTCATAAGAAATTAATTTATTGTATTCAAAATTACTTTAAAAGTTTGCATAACGAGCAACTGTCCGTTTTCCCTATTGAAATTTTTTTTTTCTGTTGATAAACTATGGATTTTTTTTTCATAAATCGTGATAAATTCGTTATATAGTAAAAATTCTAATATATTGTATATGTTATATGATCATATTAATAAATTCTATTATTTGTTTGATAGTCTCATATTTCATTTGAATGAAGGAAAGAAGAGGTTGTTACTTAGAGAAACGACAAATGCAATGGCAACAGTTACTGAGGTATTGTAAACTTTACCAGAAGAAAGAAAAACAAGAACTCAAACGATGGAATTTCCATTTGATATTAATGTTGTATTACCTAATGAAATAACTATAATTAATGGAGATTATCGAATACTTAATCATGGA